TTTTTTTTTGTTCCGCAACATAGGTCCCGGAGAAGCATGGTTCTAGGGCGATTCGGTTCGCTACGTTCATTCGACGTGCAACACAAGAACTCGAAACGTGTGAGCGCGTATCTATTCACAAACGAAATGGGAAGCGCTTCCTGTCGACCGTTCGCGTCAATTCGATCTATTGTCGCGTAAGTTTGTGACAGTGTATGTATATAACGAAGGTGCACGGCTATACCGGTGTGCCCGGCTCAATCACGACATCTTCCTCGTTCGTTCGACCGATGCCCACTCGTTTCTCCGTCTCAAATACGTATTACGACAGACAAAAAAGAAAGAAAAAAAAAAAAAGGAAAAAAGAAAAAAAGTGGCTACAGTCGGGCGTTCGCGTGGACTGGCACGATATATTAAGTCCCTCTTACTCGCCTCGATAAGTTAATGCACGTTACGCCCAGGGAAAATGAGGAAATTACCACGGGCAAAAGTTTTCTGTACACCTGTAACAGGAGAGAGAGTGAACCCTCCGACGGATTTAACGAATTTTCAAGGGAAGATCCGGAGCGTTCCTACACTTCCTGATTGAATCGCTAAAACGCGAGACGGTGCTGGCCTCGTATAATAAACAGATTGCTCTGCTGCAGAGTAGATAACATCGCCGAGCGAACGAAAATCCGTACGATGTAAAAGAAAAAAGAAAAAAAAAAAGAAAGGGAGGAGAGAAAAAGGGAGGGAAAAAATGAATTCCGTCGGGTTCGATGAAAACACAGGGAGAAGACGCTCGCCAGCGAGCGTGGAGTTGCAAGCCTAGCGTAAAATCGTTTGCTTGAAAATTGAGCAGGAGTAACGCATTTTGCGCTAATCGTCGGTTCGACCGCAGGTTCCCCGGTATCTTCCATTCTTCGAGTTCCACTTAAATTTCAACAAACTCCCCGAATGAAGGCATTGCACAACGTTGAACAGCGACGCGTAATAAACTTCAACGAACATCCGGTTTCACCCGGAAGGCCGCTCCCGTCACGGTTACTCCCGGCGTAGCTACAGAGCCGTGGCACGCTGTGTGTATAACGCGATTCTTCTGTGTTTCGACAGTGTGTCACGTTTTATTGCCAAAGGACGCGATGTATCGCCATCGACGACCAGCGCATCGTGGTTTGGCCAGTCTCTCGTTGTCCTTTGACCCGATGACACGTCGACCGTTGCGTGTTACGCAGGGACAGTCATCCGCGAGATCAATCGCACGATTAATCGCCGCATGAACCACGGCGACACGCCTGCCTTTGTGTCGTTTGAAATACCGACGCGTCGAAATCCGTTGTGTCGCGCGTAGAGGCGCAGTCATCCTCCGGTCGAGAAAGGCCGAACCGTCGTCGAAATCATCGCCTCTCGTCGCGGTAGCCACGAACGAGAGGAACGAAGAGGAAACGAAAGGCTACGCTACCGGAGCGAAATTAAAGGTACGTCTGTAGGATTGCGCGTTCGACTCGAAAAAGCGAGCGAGAAAAATTTTCCAGAGGTGCGGTTTGAAGTAATAGAACTGGTTGTCGTGCAGCCGCGGCACGTGACACCGTGTCCCTCTTCCCTTGGCACGTAAGCAAAGCAATTAGACGGAAGTGCGAAAGAAAAGCGCGAGCGTAATGACGCAAGCAGGGTAAAACGTGGCCGTCCAGGCGTTTCCAGATGGATACACCAAACCCCTCCGTTCGTCCACGGGCGAGCGTGTACTTGCTCGTTGCCGCCTTTCGTCGTCGTCGTCGTCGTCAACGTCGTCACACTCGTCTCCTATTTTTTTTAGCCCCCTTTTGCGCCGGACCCTCGTCCTCCAAACTGACCGTAAATAGGACGCGATTCATCGACACGTAGGCCGTACACGAGTTGTACGTACACGAAAAGTCCGAGCGATCGATCGGACGGCCTCGTTTAATTTTAATCGAGCACCGCTTCAATCGCTGGACCAGAACGTTGTTTCACTTTACCTGAAAAATCGGGGATCTCTCTCGTAATTGAACTGTGTGCAAACCCATCCTCGGACTTTTTCCATCTTCGGGTAAAAGCCACGATAAAGGATAAAGCGAGATAAAAGACCAACAACAACAAACAAACCAAAAAAGGAAGAAAAGAAAAAAGAAATAAAGAAAGAAGAATAGAAATTACGGACGAAAATGAAAATATATATTGCATATACGCAGGGAGGAACGATTTCGTTATCGACTCGTAGGAAATCCGGGTAGGACACCGCACGCTTGTCAGGTTGTTCCGCGTCGAATCCTCGACGGACCCGGCCAGCTTGTTCCGTTCCTCTTCTTCTAGGATTGGAGCGACTCAGACACGCTACTAGATCGATAGAGA